AAATATCTAGTTATAATTATAAAATAATAAAAAATTAAGATATTTTGACATTAATTTTTAATTTTTTAACCAAAAACAAAGTTGTTGATTCTTAATCATATTAAAAAACGCGAGACATGATCAAATCTCACACTCTCGCTTCTTCTTCTTCTTCTTCTTCTTCTTTTAAGATTATGAATTCAAGGAAACTAGGAAGAGGATTTTCTCTTTATAGTAGTTTGACTAGCTAAGTAATTCAGGGAATTAAAAAACAAAAGTAAAAAAAAATAAAGAAGAAGAAGCAAAGCTTCTTAGCACATCTAGATTTAGATAAGGATTTAGACAAATTTAGGTTGCAGAGATTATGTAATACACTTAAGAGGGCAGAAAGATTATACATAGTGAAATTGTTCACTGTTTTGCGTTGTCCCTTAGTGAATAGTCCATACTACATAAGATTTCATATCAATGATGTATAAGAAAAGAATATAGAGAGATAAGGGAGAAAGGAGCATTGCTAATTTGCGTCAAATCCTTTTCACATGCACTTGAGAAAGATGAGTCCCCACAGACACTACCATTAACCTTATAATCAAAGAAATGATGACCTTTAATGCAACCAATAATCTTGGATGTTTCATCATATGTGCATCTTTAATTTTTGTTTTCTTATGAAAAATCGATTGGTACATATTCAATTCAATATACTTTTTGATGCACGTTTAATTCAATTATTAAAATATGATATAAAAATAATATGATTCAATCCGTTCTTATATTATATATGTATTGATTGTATTTTTAAATTTTTTTGTATTTATAATTTTATATTAAAAAATAATAATTTTTTTAATAAATATATTATTTAATATATTAAACTGGAATGTGTACTGATCAATATCTTTATATATATATATAGTGCAATATTGTTATAGTTTTGAGCTTACTTTGTTGCTCTCGATTTTTACAGCTCTAATTAGAGAAAGTTAAGGGACAGTGTTAGGGGGATGTTCCCTCTTAAAAGCATGCATACTTATTGACTTGCCCCAGAAAGTGCAGTAAATTTAGGGCTATAAAAAAAGAGACTTAACCCCACAAAAGTTAGGGGATTCTTTTATTTTTTTTATGATGAGTATGCATCCACTTGCTGCAATTAAAACCCACCTACCTCCTCACCTCTCTCTTTTTACATGGGAAACAAGTTACAGAAATAAATGCCACTCTCAAAAGTAACTAAATACGAAGGATATCCCACCGTATTGTGTCTCTTGTATGGAGAGGAACAACTAACTTTTGCTGTTAATTTTTGCTTACATAAAAGATTATGCCTTCTTTCATTTTTTTAGTCCCCAACAGCAAGGGAAAGAGTAAATTACAATATTCATCATTTTTTAAGAAGTTTCTGTCACAAATTGATTGTTATCTTTACATTTTCAAAATCTATAACTCTTTTCTTTCTCTTTTTAATTATGTGTTTACATCTTAACATTTAATAATTTACCTCATAAATAAGATTTTTTTTAATATGTCACAAAATAAGAAAGCCAAATGTCTTTCTTTGAGTGTTTTTCTATAACTTTTTCATGTTTATTAATATTCCTCATTTAATGGTAATTTCTAAGATTAGAAGGTTGTTTAAGGGTGAGCAAAATGTCTCAACAAACACTTTCTTTAAATTATTATTTTTATTTATTTGTTTGGCAGTCAAATTGGGCCTTTAATGGCCCAACTTATAATAAGAGTAGATTTGAAAAAAAAAAAAAGTGTTTTAAGAGATTATTGGCACAATAATGAGTAAAATAGTCCAAACAGTATAAATAATATAGTGTTAACAGTTAGGGATGTGACAATAACTCATCCATTGATTAGGTACCATGTTAATAGTTATGGTGAATGAAACGGATTCCCTTATTAATTTCTTATTGATTGCTTCAAAACCTAACCAAAGTGATGAATCATTAATGGAAGAGGAGAAAAAAAGAAGTACAAGTTGCAAAATTTCAAAGCTCAACTAAATAAGAAGAGTTGGAGTAGAGGAATATACAGGTTGTCAAGCAGAAACAAATAAAAGGTGACAAAAAAGAAGAAAAAAAAGAAGAAGATTGAATAGCTTCTGAATATGGAGGGAGGCATCACAACAGGCATGGGTCTATATATGGTCGAATTGCTAGTTGTCAAAATTGATTGCTTAAAAAAACCCAAAAGGCAGAGAAGTCAAATTTATTTTCATCTTTTAATGAGGAAGATGATCATGGAAAACAGAAAAAGAGCATTATGCTTTTAAGCATGGGAAGAAAATTCCCATCTTTGGGGCTTGTTTTTTTCAAGAAAAGGAACCAAATAATTCATATATGTTTCCCAATTGATCTCACATCTTTGTTAATCTAAGCCATCAGATAATTGTATACATAACATATCTTTAGAGGAACAACAATGCTTCATGATTTTGATAATTAAAATTAGAACTCTTTTCTTACTACATATATGATAAATGGACTTACAATTTACAAACAATTAGAAAAGTTGGTCAAGGACTGTATAAGCTTTGACATTGATGTATATATTAATGAATATTTAATTCCTTCTTTGAAGTTCAATGTCTTAGAAATCGATTTATATTTTACTATTTATATACTCAAATTAATGTATTTATGAGTCTTTGTTCAATTTTTTGTAGATGGGATGACTTTCAAGTAGGAAGATACATGTGGCTGACAACTGTTGGTTCAGAACTGAAAATTAAGAGGCCATGTTACTTGTCCAACCTACTTGATCTTTATAATGATTGAAAAGTTAAAATGACCAAATCAGAGAAGCAGGCCCGCGCTCATTTAATAATCAATTTGCGCTTTGGAATTCTCTATGTTTTGTTTGACCAAGAAAAAGGGGACTTCCCCCCCTTTTATAACTTAAGGGGTTTTTTTAAACCAATGACATAGTTGAATAATTAAGAATTTAAGATTTTAAATTAAAAATTTTAAGATTTAATTTTAAGTTGGATGAGAGGGATTTGAGAATAGATAAAGATTATTTTTTATTGTATAATTTATAATCAGATGTATAAAAAAAAATAATTTGAGGTTTTTATTTTTTATTTTTTTAACAAATAAAAATTTGAGAAAGGGATTTGAATTCAATACTTAAGATTAATGGTGTATTTTTTTTAAAGATTTATAACCAGTCTACCTTCTAAACCATATGCCTCTTTTATAGTTTGAGTTGAGAGTGCTGATGTGCAATGATTTTAATTATTGATGAAAATATAAACCCCTAATTTCAAGTGTCTCATCTCTCTATCAATAATTTTAAGAAGTATAATTCAGGCAAGGCAGACTTTCAGTATTTTTGTATGGTTTTATCATTTGTGTGAATCACAGAATCTAAAATCATTTCTATATGTGGGCTACGCAAAATGAATGCTCCAATAGGCTCACTAGTTATGGCTGAAAACTAGGCCCAATAGTTTAGCTGTGGCCAACATCTGCACAAACAA